TAATTCCTCCTTCTGGGCCGAGTCAAAGGTTCTCAGACTCATCACCTCCTCCACCGACTAAAGGATTATGGCCATTTTTTGTAATGCATCCAAAAGGTAACCTAATTCCTCATTCTAGGACGAGTCAAAAGTTTTCTGACTCATCACCTCCTCCATCGACGAAGGGATTATTGCTCTTTTTTTAATGCATCCAAAAGGTTAACCTAATTCCTCCTTCTAGGTTTCCAGACTCGTCACCTTCCTCATCACGTGCTTCGTAAATCATTTTCAAGAAATAAACGAAGTTCAATTTTTAAATGTATCTACAAAACATACATGTTCCTACATCTTTGGGTGAATGAAAGGATACCAAAATAACTATCTTATCAACCATATTTCCTATCACAAATCCTCTTAATTAAGAATCTCTATTACTACTTGTAAAATCTCATCAGTACTTGTTCCTTTACTATATATATATATAAATAAAGACATCTAAGTTTGTAATTTTTAAATTATGTCAAAATAAAGACATCTATTATCTTCTTTCTTTAATCTTTAATCTCAAAAGTTCAATGTCTTACCTTACATTTGTCCCGCTAAAACTATTATGTCAAATAACTATAATTTTATATTTTAAAAAAATTTAATAATCGTAATAAATTAAGGAGTGTAATTTTATTTTTRTTTCTAAATTTGTTGTCTTGGAATAAAAAAAGAAACATATGTTTTCTTATTTCTTATTTTTTTAAGTATTTGTAATATTTCACTTATCTTTATAYTTGCTATTTAAAAGTGGGATAAAGAGTTGGGATAAACGAAAAATCATTTTGGACTATTACGTTTCAACCCTAATTCAACAACTTCAAATAAATAAACATCAAAATAAAATAAATTCATTTAATACAAAAAATTAAAAAAAAATAAATAAATAAAACATTACATTCATTTAATACAAAAAAAATTAAAAAGAAATAAATAAAACATAAATTAATGGTAATAAATAATAATAATAATCGCACTATTAGACAGAGGAATCATACTTGGCTTTTATATAATTTTCTTAGGGTATATCCATTTTTAGTTGGCGTTCAAGGTCATGCCTGTTGGAGGCATTGACCAACACTATGTCACGTGAAGGACATAGAGTGGACGGACTAGCAGGTCTGTCCTTAATTATGGTTCACCCATAAAAATGATCGTAAACACTTAGTCAGATACTGAACAAAAAGACAAGTCAGATAACTAAATCGTCCCTTGATATTGTAATAAATAAAAATCTCACACCTACTTCTCTCCCTCCATCATATAATTTAATCATTGTAATTTATTAAATAAAATAAATCTTTCTACATTCCACAGTCAAAATATAAACTTCTTACTTTTTCTTTAATAGTCAATACAATTTATCTTAATATTTTATATATATTATAATTTAAAAAAACTACAATCTTTTTGAAAATAATTTTGGATAATTTTGTTTTTATATAAAATTTTAAATTTACAAAGCTTATGTCACTCCCCCTAATAACTACTAAATGATAATTAATTTAATTTAAGTCATAAAATATAATACGAAAAATTTTGTCTTAAATTGATTCATAATTATAATCTTATGGCAAAAATTTGAAACTCTTTCCTTTCTTAAGATTATAAAACGACTCTTTTCATTTGTCTTAAATTGATTCATAATTATAATCTTATGGCAAAAATTTGAAACTCTTTCCTTTCTTAAGATTATAAAATGACTCTTTTCATTCATTTCTTACAGGAATTTGAACTATATTTTTCTTACTCTTTTTTCTCCCGATTTTTGTTTGGATTTTCAAATTTAAGATATTCTATAGCAATCTCAACCATTACTTGAAAGGTTGTAAGTTGCCAAAGCGAACATAGCTCATCGATAATTGACATATATCTCTAATCAARAGGTTGTAAGTTCGATCCTCCAYCCYATATGTTAGTGCTAAAAAAAATATGAAAAGACCAAAATGATCACTTTTTTATAGTACGATGACGAAAATAAATATTTTGAAAGTACCACCAAAGATCAAAACAGTATTTAAACCAATATAAAAAGGAGTGATATTGTGATTTTTTCTCTCTCATGTCTAGGCACATTTATGACATTGACCACAGCTATAGTGGTATCATAATGCAAGTTGAAATAGTTTTTTAGAATAGTATTTTCAAGACACAATTTCAAACAAAGTAAGAATGAACAACATTAAACCCTTACAGTCCTTGGGTTTAATTGTAACAGCATCTAAGTGCTTTTAAAGACAATGTTGAAGACATCACCAGCACTCCAAATGGTAATAAAATGCTCTCTTTTTTTGTAACAAATGCATCCACAAACAACTTGACATATATTTTCCTAACTACAACCCAAAGTGTCTCTTCAGGTAGAATTGAGAACATCAACAGCTCAGAATGCAAAATGTCCCCAGAGGCTTGCTTACGTCTCCGAATTTTTAGCATTAGCTTCCGACAGCAAAGGCTCGAGTTCTCCTTTCCGGTGTAGCTTCATGGTATCTGCATCACAACAAGAAAGCAACACCGACACCGACACAGTCACCAACACCAGAATAACTGAAGCAATGTAGCCTTCCCTTCAGTGACTTGAAGATTTCATAAAAATTTGTTTGAAAGAAAATTATGCCATAAAAACGTACCTGTACAGCCGCCTATATGTTTACCCCCTGGCCAAAGAGGAGAGATATGTGAGTTTAAACAATACTCATTAGGCATTCGAGAATCCGCGACACTGACCGGAACAAATTGATTGAAAATTCTTTGAATGACTAGACAAAGGGGCAGAATTTTCAAACACCAATTTCACAGTTGGTAAAATATATAATAATATCATGTTTTGATGTCACACGCTATTTTGGAAGGCAGGATTATGTCTGATACACAACATGATCAGGCACTACCAGTCATAAGAATGAAGAGTAGACACAATGAGAAAAAAATAAAACTAATACATATTTGAACAAGAAAGATACTTCTTTCAGCTTTCGACTCATGTTGATGTGCTTTTTATAAATCTGGAAGCCTGCCTATGGACATCTTGGGTGTTTCTATGTAAGCATTTTGAGCCTGGGAATTCTATTCCATGTTTCTTCTTGGGTATCTACATGTAAACATTTATTGTAACTATTTATTTCTTTAACTACAGCAGCTAGGTATGGAAAAGAAGATGGGCTCAAGAGGCCACCAAAGGCATGGCAAAGCATGGACTTTAACACATGGTAAGCTACCAGCCATCAGGATTTAGTTAGTGAAGGCATGACATGTGTCCTTAGGTAAATAGTTTCTAGAAAGGAAAAAAAGCAATGGATTTCTAACAAAAGCTATAACCTCCAAAATTCCAAATCATACCTATCGAATTCTTAGAATTAAGAATATATGAAGAACGATCAAACTTAGATCCAATTTCGTTATAATACAGTCAAATTCAGCAGTAACTTAGTATAGGGGAGACATCTTCCTCAACAAAACACACTAGGACTCRAAACTCTCTCAGTCAAATGGGAAGTAGGAGAACTGAAATATGTTTAGTTTGTTGGAGACCATAAACATTGTATCCTATTTATGAACCCTTCCTACAACCCATTAAGCCCACTAAGAGTTCTAGGGTATCCACCTAAATAAAAGTCCATATCCAATGAAAGTCCATGAGTCCATTAAATTATAGATCACTTTAGACGATTCTTTAAATAGTCCAATAATATAATTATATTAATAGGTGGTCCACATTTCATTATTATAATATACAAAGATTCTAATAGTTTCCCTCTAGGACTACATATTAATTATTTTATCAATTCCTAGTACATAACTTTAGGCTATTTACTAACAACTTTACCGTAGAACAATCTCATCTATTTTTTGTAATAGTAAAGGATTAGGATGGCTTTCACTATTTTTATTGTTGGATCAAGGATCGTCTCTTGGMATGGAGATTGTCGTAGCTAATTTCCACTATTGATGTGGAGATTGCACGTTAGGTGACCTTACATTCCAATTTCCAACTGGCCACCCTTTAATGAGATCATATAAACAATGGGATAGAACACCATATATCTACATTTATATAACCAATGCTCATAAACAAACTATATAACATTTCTAATCTGCATAAAATATAAATCACAATATATATGTATAAAAGAATAAAACACTGTAGGAAAGTCACTCCCACTTAACCATAGGTACTATTAACTGCAACAACACAAGCAGTATGCTCTAGAAAGACTTTAGGTGTTAAACCTTTGGTAAGTATATCTGCTAGCGTTTCATTGGTTCCTATATGTTCTATGGTAATTAACTTATCATATACTCTCTTCTAAAAACAAGAAAATTTATGTCAATAAACTTAGATTTCGCTGTATTAGAATACGAGATTGCTGACTTATTATCACGAAAACTTTTGAGTGGCCTTTAATGTCATCAATAATCCTTAGTCCTGTGACAAACTTTCTAAGCCATAAAGCATAATTTGACTGCCTCATAGCGTAGCAATGAACTCTGCCATCTGCCACCATGGTCAAAGCTACAAGAACTTGTTTGGCATTCCTCCATGAAATAGCTCCTCCCGCCGTCATGAACAGATATGTTGATGTAGAACGTCTGTTTATAAAATGTGAGGGAGGTGAAATGTCTTTTATCAAACAACATAGGAAAAAAAATGCTGCTCTGAGGTAGCAATGCCAAGTTTCCATTTTTTATCATTCATTTTATGTTGTTGAGGTGGCTTGAATTGAGGCTTAAAAGGTGGCATTCATTGAGGTGGACAGTGGGCAGTAAAGGTGTTAAACAAAAAGGAGGGCACATTTTGGCCCTAGCTAGCATGTGCAGGCATGACAGCCAGCCACGTGCGTGTGAGACGCGCCTCTCCGATTCTCTAGTGCCAAGCTAGTGCACTGCCGAGCCGCTAAGCCACCTAGTCGTTGAGCTGTCGAGCCCCAGCAGCCAAGTCAAATTGTTTTGGATCAATTTGTCTGGTTTTTTGGGTTATTAATGGTCAAATTTTGGTTTTCCTTGGACCTTTAGCCTATTTTGAGGACCTTTTATCCATTTAGTTAAATTTATGCATGATCAATAATAGTTAACTATTGAAAGATGAGGAGATTGTTGAGTTAGCAAATCTTCTATCTTTCCTCCCCTCGACTTTGCTTCATGAGACAGAGGATATTTGGATTTGGAATTTGGAGTTTGGAGAATTCTGGCGTTTTCACTGTTAGCTCTTTAGGAAAGATTGGGGCTGGTGTCCAAAAAGAGTCAATCTCTTGTCTTGGATTCTTCTTATGGGAAAAGTCAACACATCAGAAATCTTGCAAAAGAAGATGCCTTTTATGTATTTACAGCCAACGGTATGTCTATTGCGTGCTGCTAGTGGTGAGTTCCAACAGTATGTTTTCTTCTCTTGTTCTTATGCGGCTGAYTGTTGGCCTCTCTTCTTCTCTTTGTTCAACATATCTTGGGTTTAGAATTTGGAGACCTCTAATAACATTCTACAATTATATTGCGGTGCTTATTTTCATAAGAAAGCTAATCTCCTTTGGCTTAATAAGCCATCATCTCAKAATTATGGTACGAAAGGAATCAGCGGGTTTTCAAAGCAAACACAAATCCTGTATATATTGCTTTTCAGCTAAGTATAAAGCTCCACAATGGTGTGCTCTCTCATCATCTCAGAATTATTGTTGTTTGTTGTTATTTTATTTTTACTTTTTTTTTGCTCTTTTTTCACTCTTTTCGAAGTTTATATCTTTGAACATTTCTCCTTTTCATCAATCATTGTTAAAAAAAAATTTGTTAATTATTGAAAATAGCTTTGGTATTTTATTTTCTCATGGATATAATTAACGATAATAAAATATTAAGTCCTGCATAATTGTCCGCTTATTTATCAAATGATAGAACATGTTGTCAAAGTAGTCTTTGTTACCGAATAATTTATATAGTCAAAATTATCAGATGTTGGAGAATGCGTTATTTGTGCATTCTAGTAATGGCCCAAATGAAGTTATTAGTTTGGCGAAATAACATATTCACTTGCTACAATGAACATAATGCCATGAGGGTGATAGTCAGCTCAAAGGAAGGTTGTTAATGTTGTGTTTAGTATCTTATTTGTCCTCATAAAGCTTCTTGTTATTACTAGTGTTGAGATTTATTGTTTTTTATACCATTGCTATGGGTTACTACAACTAWTATTCCTGCCCAGTTGGGTCAAGTCCCCGTGCTACTAACTAGTGCAAATTTTAAGTCTTGAAAAGAGTGCAAAGAGATCATTATGGGTTGTATGGATCTCGACCTTGGGTTTTGGCAAGGCAAATCTATTTCTACCCCTCGTGAGTCTAATGAGGCAAGTGGAGAAATGGGAAAAGTGTAATCGCATGAGTTTGATGATTATAAAACATTTTTGGGTTCAATTCTAGAAGATGTGGATGCACATAGTTTTCTTCAAAAGTTGGAAAAGCGATATGTCAGGAGTGACAAAGTCGAAGCTAGTATCAATTATAAAACACTCAATTCCGCAGCTAGTAGATATGTCAAAACAATTCTCCTTGTTTTTGTTAGTTGAGCTMATTAGGTCGTTGGAGAGAGAAGAAAGTAATCTATTGACCTTTGGGGTATCGATGGGTTTGTCATTAGAGGAGAGTGTCAAACCTCTCGATTGTTTGGCTAGACTATAATATTATGTTATATGTAATAAAACTAGAGATTTCTTAAGTCCTATTAAACTAGCAGCAAAATGTTTTTTTCTTTTTTTGATAACCGGGAGTCTAAGCTTTGCTCCCCTGTACCTAGGGGCACCCGCGCCAGCCTTTGGGAATGGATTCAAAATATAGGAGGATTCTATTGGAAATGTACGAAATGTTGTTGAAGAAAGTGAGGCAAGAAGTGAAATCATTCAATATGAAGTCATTTGAGGAATTGGGTAGAGACTTTTGGCACAAGATTGAAGAACAAAGGCAAGGATAACAATTAGGACAAAAGGAAAATCAACCCAACAAGGTGAGTATATGCATCTTATACAAGATCAAAGAGAATTGATCCAACACAAGTTTGAAGGTGATGGAGAAAGTTGTGAGAGCTGGAATTAGGAATGAAAGGAACTTACATAGATCGAGACCCTATAGATTCACAAAAAAAGGGAATGAACACAAACAGGAAAATAAATATGAAATTGAACTACAAAGCAAGGACAAAAAGAAACCAACGGGAGAGGAGACATGACAGAAGAGGAGTCAACCGTAAAAGAAAGAGAAGTGGGAAGAAAAGTTATTAGCAAAAATAGTGCACTCCAATGTTAGAGAAACGGAGGCATCTAGGCTGTGAGTGGTGGAAGCATGATACGAAAGAAGAAACAACCACTAAAACATATCCATACTTCTTTGCAACTGTAAAACTTTTGGAGAATAAAGATGGGGTCCTGGAGAAATAGTAAGAGAATGGAAACCATCAATCACTTGCGTGAATGGCAGTTGGGGAGGTGGGTTTGGAGGCTGATTTGGAAGGAAAAAAGTCATCCAAATTTGTTTTATTTGACGGGAGAGTTAATTGATCAACCACACCTTGAGAATAAGGTATATTTTGGGGGCAGAGTAGAAAAATATTAAGGGTGTTAAGAGGGCATATTTGGG